TTGAAGTGTGATATTCGAATCGCATTCAAATTATTCGAATCACTCCGTGGTCCTCTTCGAATCACACTACGGTCGTAAGTATGTAACATTCATGCATGTAACATGTCTGTATGTAGTAAGTATATGTGCATTTTATATGTCTGTTTGTAGTAAGTATATGTGCATGTAACATGTCTGTATGTAGTATGTCTGTATGTAGTGTGTATGCATGTAACATTTATGCATGTTACATGTTTGCATGTAACATGTATGGATGTAACATGTATGCATGTAACATGTATGCATGTATGTAATATGGACGTGCGAACCAATGGTGGGATATGTGAAACGGAACGTGCAGGATCAGGATGGGATTACAATTATTTGTATAACACTTTGGTGGTATTAAGATCAAGCTGTCCACTGCTGGATGAATGTTAATCTCAATGGCATCAAATAGCAATATTCAGTATGTATATATAAAATAATCACACAAACCCAATATTACATACATACATGTTGCATATATATATGTTACATGCACATATACTTCAAACAGACATATTACATACATACATGTTACATACTTACGACTGTGATTCGAAGAGGATTACGGAGTGATTCGAATAATTCGAATGCGATTAGAATATCACACTTCAATGTAGGTTGTTCTAATCTATAACACTAGTTAATAATGTTATTGTATAGCGTTATAATGTATAGCTTGAGGCCCGGGGTGCCTCAAGGATCCGCCACGTGCGAGGAACCGGTGCCTGGAGCCTGGTCAAATTCTTCAAAAGAAGCCAGGGACCTGCCTAATCCTTCAAGGCTGTGGTGCGAGCCCTTGACGCCCCGACATGCACAAGATTCTACCATGGGCGCGGGACTGGCGTCGAGAACCAGGTGAAAATGTGCAAGGTTGCGCTTGTAAGCTCCACGCCCATTATCAATGCTGTATATTGCTATTCGGTGCCATTGCGATGTAACATTCTACCAGCAGTGGGCAGCTTGATTCTAATACGACCATGGTGCGGTTTTAATAATTTTGATGCGATTCTAAATCTGGCACCACCCAGGCCGCATTTACGACTCCCGATGTGCATCTACATTTAACATACATTCTAGCTCAGTGTAATTCTAATACTACCAAAGTGATATTCTAATTGTTTTAATCCGATCATAATCCTGCACCCCCCAATTCGCATATTCGACCACCGGTTCGCATGTCCAAAGGCCATAGATGCATATTACATTCGTACATACGAGCACAGTTCGCTTGCACGTACACTATACATACATATGCGCAGAATTAGATTTTAATACGATCACGTTGAAATTCTACTGCTTGTAATGAGATTATAATACCGTACCTCTGTTTTTGGTGTTATAAATGATGAAACTAGTGTATAGTAGTTTAATGTTTCGTGTTATCGTTTATAGTGTTACAGTTCACGTGTCTTAGCGTACAGGATTCCCTGTATACTTGATGATTAGGGACCGTAACGTTGTGAATCGATTAATAATGGGGCCCTTTCCCCTCCAGGAACACATGTTAATGGGGCGACTGCCGGTTAAGGGCAGATTTGTGTTACGAAGATCCTCCGCCTGAAACTCGCTTAAAACACGTTGTTGATATGAATAAATGAACGGACACACATTTGTAAAAAAAAACATTTTTATTCATCTGCAATCAAGTCAAAACTCGAACCGAATGTATTATGTCCTATGTTCAAACAGTTACAATACAATGTAAACCATATCCGTTCCAGGAATACCAACGCGTTAAAGTATCATTCCCCATGATTTCCTTATTAGTTCACCACATTTGTTCACTGTGCGTCTATGTTGAAGTCAAGGCCATATATCCAACGAACGCGTCATCAACGTACATCCTAAAGTCGATTATTACCATCCAAAAAAAGCTTTAAACTTGAAAAAAACGTTTAAAATGTTGAGTAAAGATCTAACTACAGATGCATTCCAACTTTAGCTCAACAGGAAGACTTAAACACTACAATATTGTCCGGAATTGAACCATATCACAACCACTGCTCATCACACCACTTCACCAAGTAATCCGACAACATCAAAAATCACCACCTGCACGTCAAGAAACTCTCAAACGAACTGTAAAACTAGAGGGTCAGAATTACACACAAAAGTACTCAAGACAGCTGAATAGGTAAAACCGCATGCAACATTATATTTCAGTCACCCCGAGCTCTCGGGTTGATCCTCGAGCCACTCCATTACATCCAGCCATCTCTCGGGATCCAACTGCATGGGATCGAAGGTGGAATTATCTTCAGGACTTATTTCAGCACCTTGAATTTCACCTTTTGATTTCAGCTTCCTATCATTGTGGACCTTCTGATGCCTGTTCATGGATGATGACTGTGAAAATGCCTTCCCACACACAGGGCACAGGAATGGCTTCTCGCCCGTGTGTGTTTTCTGATGAGTTTGAAGATTTGATGACTGTGCAAATGCCTTTCCACACACAGAGCATATGAATGGCTTCTCGCCCGTGTGTGTTCTCTGGTGTCTCTGAAGATGTGATGGCCATGAAAAGTACTTCCCACACACAGAGCAATTCAATGGCTTCTTGCCTCCGTGTGCGTGGGGCTGTGGAGAGCGTCTCTGCTCCATGTGAGCGTAGTAACAGTAGTGGTGTTATCGAGTCCAAAGTACGCTATCGGCCGCAAGGATGTTTAGCGTTGAGTTTTAGATTTTGTTAACTGCTAAAACAAGAACGACACTCGCGTCTAACCGAGACGCAAAAAATCCCGCTAATTTGACGACGAACACGTTCCGCGAAAATAGACACTTACTTGGAGATTCACGGTATATCGATGTCTTGAACCCGTCTGAAGATGTCGCCACGAACTCTCACGACGCAAAGTCGCCTAACTGTCGACACAGCAATTGTGCTCGCCAGGCTGCGTTGTCTCGCGGTTGAAGGGCGATCAGCAGAGCGACGAGTCGAGCGTCCAACCTCATCAAGTTCCCTCTCGAAATGGCATTGAGCTCTGCTTCTGAGCCGCCTTATAACTCCCCCCCTAGGATCAAATCCTTTGTCTTTCAGGATATTTGCATTCGATTGTTAATTTATGAAGGCACAATCCGCATGTATATTAACATACCGAAGGGTAATGTGCCCATTGTGCTTCATGCATGAATATGTAAGTGCATCTCGGTGTGTAATTATGCGCGTTCCCCATGCCCTCCATTTTCCTCGATTTAAAGTGAATGCAGCCCCGTGGCGTTGCCAAAAATCGCCGAGCTTCGTGTGTGAGCACATACAGACGCGTAGTGACTACACTTGCAATACAATCACTCTAACATCAGTAACCAAAATCCGATCTGGTACATGGTCTCCGCTTGGTCTGGTTTGTATCCGTCATAACTCCGGAGACAAACAGCGAGGCATGGTTTAGCCAGCCACCACCTCGTTTGCCAAAACGACTTTAATAGCTGCTCTCAAACAACACTATCACCAATTGTGGTTTACAGGCTAGGCTGTTAAGCGGACAATCAGTCTTTTTGGGCAAGGCGCATGGGATAATACACACCTCTGTTATCCCGAAACACAATACACAGCATCGGTAAGGCTGCCTTGTTGGGGAGATGTAGCTTGGGTAAGGTGCTGTCACTGGAGTTAGGCGATGTGACTGGGTTATCACACGGATTCCGAAAAGCAGCTTCGACGATACGATCCACTGTGCTCCATGTCCCCACATGAACGACGACATTCAGAGTTTAAAAAAGTGGAATATATATTTGTAAATACGTTTTTAAAAAATGTGTATTGTATCTATATTACAAATTTGTGTTCGTTTCTATCATATCCTTCCAATTCGCGGCGGATATGGATCTTCGCAAGCTGCGAGTCCAAGACCAAGTGTGGGTACTCGGAAAGCTGCGGGAGGTCGTCAAAGTCCGACAGAGCCATCCCACCTGCCGTGAGGAACTCGTGGAGGCTGTGAAGGGTCTTGAACTTTACCATTTGTTCTTTGTTGGTCAGCTCGCGGTACTGGTACTCGTAATCGCGGGCCAATTCGTCGTAGAATTTATCCCAGAGATCCTTCGTATCTGCTGGCATGGAATACAGCAGAATCGTAGCGAAGAGTTGACGAAGCTGGTACGGCATCTGAAAGAGCGAGGCTTCTTCTAGACACGCAACCCATTCGCGATCGCTCTCAAGGTAGCCTGCTCGCATTTGATCAACTCTGATATTGTATACTCTCACATGTTAAGCTCTATCATAGTGAAACATAATAGTATAACCTATGAACTACAACCTATCCATTGTAACGCTGTAAAATAATATTACCTGTTGGGTTTCACTCCCTCGTCGAGAAGGCCGCTCTCTTCCTTTTCTAAAGTTACATGCTAATTTCTCTGCATTCACTTTAAATCGAGGACAACGTTTTTCCATTTATTCAAAATAAGCGCACAATTACACACTGAGATGCACTTACATATTCATGCATGAAGTACAATGGACACATTACTCTTCGGTATGTTAATAGATATGCGGATTGTACCTTCCAAAATTAACAATCGAATGCAAAAATCCTGAAAGACAAAGGATTGGATCCGAGGGGGGGAGTTATAAGGCGGCTCAGAAGCAGAGCTCAATGCCATTTCGAGAGGGAACTTGATGAGGTTGGACGCTCGACTCGTCGCTCTGCTGTTCGCCCTTCAACTGCGAGACAACGCAGCCTGGCGAGCACAATTGCTGTGTCGACAGTTAGGCGACTTTGCGTCGGGAGAGTTCGTGGCGACATCTTCAGACGGGTTCCAGACATCGATATACCGTGAATCTCCAAGTAAGTGTCTATTTTCGGGGATAAACTCTTAAACGTTTTCGTCGTCAAATTAGCGGGATTTTTTTGCGTCTCGGTTAGAGTGTCGTTCTTGTTTTAGCAGTTAACAAAATCTGAAACTCAACGCTAAACATCCTTGCGGCCGATAGCGTACTTTTGACTCAATAACACCACTACTGTTACTACGCTCACATGGAGCAGAGACGCTCTCCACAGCCCCACGCACACGGGGGCAAGGAACAATTCAATTGCTCTGTGTGTGGGAAGGCATTTTCATGGTCATCAAGTCTTAAGAGACACCAGAGAACACACACGGATGAGCAGCCATTCCTGTGCTCTGTGTGTGGGAAAACATTTGCACACTCATCACATCTTCAGAGTCATCAGAGAACACACACGGGCGAGAAGCCATTCCTGTGCCCTGTGTGTGGGAAGACATTTGCACAGGCATCACATCTTCAGAGTCATCAGAGAACACACACGGGCGAGAAGCCATTCCTGTGCCCTGTGTGCGGGAAGACATTTGCACAATCGACAACTCTTCAAACTCATCAGAGAACGCACACGGGCGAGAAGCCATTCCTGTGCCCTGTGTGTGGGAAGGCATTTGCACGGTCATCAACTCTTCAAACTCATCAGAGAATGCACACGGGCGAGAAGCCATTCCTGTGCCCTGTGTGTGGGATGACATTTGCAAAGTCATCAAATCTTCATAGTCATCAGAGAACACACACGGGCGAGAAGCCATTCCTGTGCCCTGTGTGTGGGAAGACATTTGCAAAGTCATCAAATCTTCATAGTCATCAGAGAACACACACGGGCGAGAAGCCATTCCTGTGCCCTGTGTGTGGGAAGGCATTTGCAGACTCATCAACTCTTCATAGTCATCAGAGAACACACACGGGCGAGAAGCCATTCCTGTGCCCTGTGTGTGGGAAGGCATTTGCAGACTCATCAACTCTTAATAGTCATCAGAGAACACACACGGGCGAGAAGCCATTCCTGTGCCCTGTGTGTGGGAAGACATTTGCAAAGTCATCAAATCTTCATAGTCATCAGAGAACACACACGGGCGAGAAGCCATTCCTGTGCCCTGTGTGTGGGAAGGCATTTGCAGACTCATCAACTCTTCATAGTCATCAGAGAACACACACGGGCGAGAAGCCATTCCTGTGCTCTGTGTGTGGGAAGAAATTTGCACACTCATCAACCAGGAACGGGCATCAAAAGGTCCACAATGATAGGAAACTGAAATCAAAAGCTGAAATTCAAGGTGCTGCAATGATTCCTGAAGAAGTTTCCACCTTCGATCCCATGCAGTTGGATCCCGAGAGATGGCTGGATGTAATGGAGTGGCTCGAGAGTCAACCAGAGAGCTCGGGGTGACTGAAAAAATATTATGTCATATTAAGCCGTATCGAGTACTTTTGTGTGTAATTTTGACCATTTTAGTTTTACAGTTTTTGTGAGAGTTTAATGACGTGCCCAGTGGTGGTTTGTAATGTTATCGGATGACTTGCCGAAGTGGTGTGATGAGGACTGGTTGTGAGAGGGTTAAATTGTAGTCGTTAAGTGTTCCTGTTGAGCTAAAGTTGGAATGCGTCTGTAGGTACATCTTTACTCAACATTTAAACGGTTTTTTTTCGAGCATATAGCTGTTTTTATTGGTATTAATCGACTTTAGATAGCCGATTTCAGGATGTACATTAATGACAAGTTCGTTGGATATATGGCCTTGACTACAACATAGACGCACAGTGAACAAATGTGGTGAACTAATAAGGAAATCATGGGGAATGACACTTTAACGCTTTGGTAATGGTTTGCATTGTACTGGAAATGTGTGAACATAGGACATAATAAATATTCCCTTCGAGTTTTGACGTAAAAATGATTGCAGATGAATAAAAACGTATTTTTAACAAATGTTTGTCCGGTCTTTATTTTATAATGTTAAGAGAATTTCAGGTGGAGGATCTCCGTCACACAAGTGTGCCCTTAACCGGCAGCATCTTGGCTGTCTACCCGATTAACACGTGTTCCTTGAGGGGAAAGGTCCTCGTAGTTAATCGTTCATCAACGTACCAGTCCCTAATCCCGAAGTATGTCGGGGATAAACTGTACTTTATAACATGTAAACTGTAATACTATAAACGATAACACTAAACATTAAACGATAATAAACTAGTGTAATAATTCATAACCATATAAACGGATGTAAGGTATTATAATATCATTAGAAGCATTAGAATCACAGTGTGGCTGTAAACGAATCGCTAATATGTATGTATAGTGTACGTGCAAGGATCGGATAAAAATTATTACAATTACAACATGGTCATATTACAATCACGATTTTCACTGCTAGATGTCATCAAATAACAAAAGACGGAATATATTTATATAAATACACGCACAAACCCATTATAAACTCATCAGATTATGAATGGTGACAATTATTAAAACAATCACAAATTGTGACAGCGAAATTCCAACATGCAAAACACCACGCTCACGTGACGAATTCTTAAACAAACTGCAACACTCAAGTGACAAAATTCAACAAAAAAAGGCCGCATTAAAAAGAAAAACATCAATGGACAAATCCAAAAAACAGTCAATACACACACGTTAGTAGCTGTTAGAAGAAGACAACACCTAGCACCTTCAACCATACACATTATACAGCCAACTCGTAAATGGGGCGGTATATGACAGCCTTCGCTGCTGTCGACGGGGCCAAGCAGCGAGTGTTTAACTCCACTGTTTCAGAATCCGTGTCATCACCTGGCCACAGCGCCTTAGCCAAACTACATCTCCCGAACCAGGCAGCCTTCCCTATGCTGTGTATTTTAGCAGTATATTTACTGACGCACTTGAAGATAACAATTAGTCTAGAAAAGACAGGCGACTTGTTCTACCAACATGATTTAAATTTCTATCCGAAAGAAGTATGAGTTCATTCATGAGTAGTATTCACTAAGCACCGATGGCACTAACCTACACACAGTTATGATTAAACAAAGTAAACATTAGTCGCTCATCCCAGCTCAGACATGATCATAGCAATCATTTCCAAATCCGTGTCCACGAGAACAGGGCACGTCCACAAACTCTCAAATTGTAAACTCACATTGTATACTCTAACATTATAAACTCTAACAATATAACCTTTAAACTATGAGCTATACATTGCGACGTTCTAAAATAACACTACAAACTAGTGTTATAGTAAACTATAATGTTGTGAACTCTAACAATATAAGCTATGTGCGATACATTATAACGCTATAAAATTACATCATAAACTAGTGTTACAGATTAGAACACCGTACATTGAAGTGTGATATTCGAATCTCATTCGAATTCTTAACTTCACACCGTGGTCCTCTAAGAATCACACTATGCTCGTGAGTATGTAACATGTCTGTATGTAATATGCATGAATATATGTATGTAATATGTATTATGTAACATGTATGTATGTAATATGGACGTGCGAACCAAGGGTGGGATATGTGAAACGGAAGGTGCAGGATCACGCTTTGGTGGTATTAGGATCAAGCTATCCACTGCTGGATGAATGTTCCATCTCAATGGCATCAAATAGCAATATTCAGTATGACTATATAAAATAATCGCACAAACCCAACATAATCCCAAGCAATTATGAATCGTTACAATTGTAATGACTCGTTTGATAAAAGTATTTGATCAAAGTTTGTTATCCCATCAAAGCTGTCTGGGTGGGGACAGACATAAGTCTTGATGCGCGATGATTGGACGAACCAACGGCGACGCCCTATCTACATTCGTACACACTGCAGCCATTTCACCTCTATGACTTCAGCTGTATCATTATAAACGATATCACTCAACATTAAATGACTATATACTGGTTTTCTAATTCATTACACCATAAACGGAGGTACGGTATTCAAATCTAATTAGAAGTATTATAACCACACTGCTTATATGCATCTAAAGCGAACGTTCCGTCGAACCGGGGGTTGGATATGCGAACTGTGGGGGGTGCAGGGTTAGAATCGAATTCAAATTCCTAGAATAACAATATTGTCGTATTAGCATTTTACTGTGCTTGACTGTATGTTACGTGTAAATGCAAATTGTTAGTCGTAAATGCGAGGCAGGGGTTAAGAGGTGCATGTTTAATCCAGTGTTAACGTTTATTTTAGCATCAAATTTAAGGACAATATTGGAAATAAAAGTTCGTCTGGACATGGCACGTGCCTTGTTCGTCTCGATCAACCAAAATTAGTAGAATGTCGGTCATAAAGGAGTGCGAGTTCTTTCATGAATAGTATTCGCTGAGCCCCCAGATACTAACCTACACACAGTTATGGTTAAACAAAGTAACGTTTAGTCATTTAATTCTCAGCTCAGACATGATCGCAATAATTTCCAAAGACGTGTGGGGTCCCGTGAGAGCAGGTCCTGGCTACAAATAGTCGAGCAGCAGAAACAGCAGAATCAGAAGTAGTTGCGTCGCCATCAAAACGTGTTGCTGCTGCTGTTGTTGCTGCTGTTATTGGTGCTGCTTTAGTTACTTCATTATCACTATCAACCATCGCCACCACCACCACCCAACCATCACAATCCAACAGTTATCATAACCATCCATCATCATCAACACCCATAATCACAACAACCCATCATCATCACCACCCATAACCATCACCACCCATCATCATAACCTCACCAATCATTACCACCACCCATGATCACCACTACCACCCATCATAATCACTACACATTAACATCACCAACCATCATCATTACCACCCTTCATAATCACCACCCATCATCATCATCACCACCATCCATTATCAAGATACATCATCATCATCACCACCCATCAAAAATAAACAAACACAAACAGCTCCAAACATAGATATGTAACCTGACACAGACATAGATAACAGACACACACAAATAAACAATCTCATTAACAACTAAATTATAAAAAGCCCAAATTACCACTGCCAGGATAGGTGCACACAGACAAATCCTTTACACAATAATAATTTACATGGAACTCAAACTCACACTTAGTACAACCACCTCACTCACTTAAATAAAACTACAGATCAATAACTAGAATACAAACCTGAATTTAAAAGTAAATAAACCAATGGGATGGTGTTTATACGCTTGAAATGTAATTAATGAAATGCAAGTTAATAATTCCAATTAAACAAAAAATAACTACGAACAAATATGAAGCCTGAGGCCTAGGTATATGCCAGGCCTGATGGCCAGGCATTGCTTCAGTCCTCGCCGCAGTAACGGCGACATCAAAGACGGCACAAAGCGAGGGGGCAAATGTTTAATGTCGAACCGAGGGCTCTGCTGTTTCCGGTGACGCACACCACCCGCACTGCACCACGTGGTGCGCCCGCCAAGCGCGTGGGGGCGGAGCCTCGCTGTAGTGACGTCACCTCTGTTACGTCATAGCCACGCCTCCACCCGCAGTCGAGAGGAATGCGCACGAGTGAGCAGCAGCACAAGCCTTTGCAGAGCGAATCGTCAACGAGGTGAGCGTCCCTATGGGAACCTCATTTGCCAGTAAAAATATGATAATTGTTTTTTACCCTTCTATCTGGCAACAAAACTGACACCTTTTTACAGTGCGCCTTTTGGCGTCATCAGGTCCAACCCATGTGAGACTAGGCTCTACGGAAAGCTGTCTCGGGTGTGGACCAATCAACTTCAAGGACAGTGCACATTATCAGAGTTATGTTCTTTTGTTTGTATTATGACTGCAGGTATTGCGGTCTATGCAAACATGACTCCTTGTAAAAAGGTGTCAGTTTTGTTGCCAGATAGATGGGGAAAAAACCAATTATCGTGAGCGTCCCTGTTGACGATGTGTGTTGTTTATTTTTATTGCACGTTTTGACTACAAACTAAAGCTTCATTATTTTTGTGTATGTTGCTATTTGGATTTTCTGCAACCAAATTAGGACTATTAGTTAGATTACTTGGCATGCTCTGATATGTTGCTGTTACTGTCATTGTTTAGAACCAAAGCAAGTTAACATTTAAAACGTTCATAACTAACCTGTTTAAATCTCATATAATATGATTAACATGTCTATAATTATTGTGTTCTGATTGCCTGCATAATTGTGCCCTGCATTACATGTATTGAATGTTATCCAACACGGGGGAGGAGTCTACGTTTTAGTTCAGACCCGAGCTGCTGCCAT